TACAAATTTTATTAAAAATCAGCTTTTGATTCAAAAAGGTGCTTCAGACAGGTGACGAAGTTATTTAAATTAAACAGAAACTGCATTTGCTATGCTATTAAAGTTAAAATATCATTGCCACTGTTAAGACAACATTCATTCTAAGAGTGCTATTATTTTAGAGAATTCTACACATTTCAAATAAAAAATAGCACAGATCATTCTCTTTATTTTACATGACTACTGCACCATTCGCCAACAACATGCATTCAAAAACAACAACAACAATAAATAAATAAATAAATAAATAAAGTCTGAAAGGTTTCATATTTTAAATTATGTTCAAAGGGGCTTTTTTTTTTTAATATTTTGTTTGTTATTTTTATTTATTAAATATCATGTTCTACATACTCAAACCATAAAATTCGGTTCAACAGCAATATCGCAAAATAATTTTAAAATGAGCATATCTTTAGAATTTCTGATTCCGATACAGAGTCTCGCGTGCTGGAGATAATTTCCCCCCCCCCCCCGTATAGTGTTGCCATTGCTCTCTTTGAAATCATTTAGTTTTTTAATCAAAAATTCGTTGAAGTGTTACAAAATATGAAATCGATAATAAAACAAATTTTAAATTCAAATTAGGGCTTCTGCATGCCCATATTCTATAGAAGATTAGGTTATGGAAATTTTGATGGCTCTAAATGTTGTTTTATCACAATGCGAGAAGCATACATACATTCATGCAGTTTCTTCATTATTTATTTCTTTAAATATAATACAGGGTGATAATATTTTGGCGCAGCCATTTGAAAAGTGATTTGGCATTTATAGCTTTCAGCGCAAAATGCCAAAACGAAATTAATAGTCTTTCAGGGCAAATTGCCCCTTTGGACAAAAAATAAAATAAGCAAACGTTAAAAAAGTAAACTTTCGTTCTTCTTTTCTTATTAGTATTTCATTTATTTATTTACTGCATTTTTTTTTTATAACTGAAATTTGTTACTTTTAGAAAAGTTGCGGGTTATATTTCGGACACTCACTTGTTACGCTGTAGGTTGGCTATTTTAATAACATATATAACAAAATACAGAAATTTTAACTCACATTTGCCTTTCTGCTTGCAATTTCATTGCGTTGAACAAAGTAATTACAATTATTAAAGCATAAGTACATAAGAAAATCAAACTCATTGAAGTTGTTTCTAATAAAAATCGCATTCAAATTAATGTACATTAAAAGACTTGGGATATTTAAAATGCATTTGAACATAACTTCATCATACCAGTATAAGCTACCAATATTGTTCCAAAAAGAATAAATAATTCACCATCGTTATATTTACTATCAAATTAGATTATGCTTCATAAAGCAGTTCAAGAATATGCTTATTATAATTTAATGTTGATGGCTAATTTTTATTTCAATTATTGATTAAAAAATGTTATTATTTACATGTATGTAATTCAGTAATATGTAATTCAGGTTAATTAAATGCAGTACTATTCGTTTCGCGCGAATAATTAAAATTTTTAACTTGCCGGCTTTAATTACGCATCTATATATCCATAAGTGAATTTGTTTAAATATTTTTAGATGCTATTTTTTAACTGAATTCACGAGCATTTCACATATTTCTGAACATTTAGTTTAAAAACTAAAGGTTGTTTTATGAAAATGTTATCCATTTAAAAGAGAGTATTGGAAAAACATGCCTACATGTTACTTATTTAGCAAAGAATGTCCGGGTTTGTTTGTTGTTTATAAACCACTGTATGTTCAAGCATTTTCTTGGCGATTAATCATAGTGGTCTAAAACGAAAAAGAGCAACCCTCTTAGGCTCCTACTGAGAGTTGTCATTTAGAGATCTCCTGGGTTCCAGAAATAAGGGGGGAGCTGTGACATCTGCACGGCCACTTTAAGGTGGTCATAGCGCTTTCGAGGTTGTCACCACTGACCGCCTAGAATCATCAGTAACGCTTTCGAACACTTTTCCATTGACCACCTAGAAGCTTTGGTAACGCTTTTGACGTAGGTCTTCATGACCGCCTAAACCCAGTCATAACGCTCAGAGGGTTAAACACAAATCACATTTATTCAACTTTAATTTAAAGCAACAGATGCATTAATGTTGCATACAAGCACACACGAAAGCTTAGTAATAATAAAAAAAATAGAACAAGAGGATTATGGAGTATAATAATTCGGTGTGATTAGCATGCATGCGCCTTAGCATTTCTAGTTTTACCAGAAGAGTGTTGAAAAAAATTTTTTTTTCTCAAATGCCTGATTAATTTACAACAACCCCTCCTTTAGTCATGCATTTGGTAAGTGTGGCAAATCAGATTTAGCTCACTTCTTAATTTCAGAAATTTTGGTTTGGACAATGGCTTAGTGAAAATATCTGCATTCATGGAATTTGTTTTGCAGTATGTTATCTCAGTTATTTTATTTTCTTCCATTTCTCTTAAAAAGCAGTATTTAACATTAATATGCTTTAGCCTGATTTTCATTTTACCCTGTTTTATAAGAGCTATTGTGGACTTATTGTCCTCAAATTTGTTAATGGGTAGTTTTTGAGGTAGTTCAAAATATTTAAGGAGATCTAATATCCATTTGAGATCTTGAGCAGCAGTAGCTGCAGAAATAAGCTCGAATTCATTAGGTGATAAGGTCTCTTTGTGGACCAAAATATTGAGCTGTTTCCTAAGAAAAATAAATTTCCACGTGTTGCTTGTTCAGTCCATCGTCAAGTTGTTGATTGTCAGATGTTGCCATCTAGTTGATCGCCAGATGCATAATCAGCATCCATATAACAAAGTGTTGGTGGGCTATCAGAGTCAACTTTCAGGTAAATGGCGTTTGTAGAGTTCAAGTATTGAATCACTCTTAGAACTGCTTTCCAGTCATTCTCATTTGGAAAATTCCTACACAGAATGCATAATGTTTTCCTATTATGTTCAATAACTAAAAATGATTCTGTTCAGGTCTCTTGAAAATATCTTCCTTTATCAATGTTTAATTTTGCCTTTTTTGCTGTCAAGTCATTTGTCAGGGTTCAAGACCTGGAGTATAGAAAAGCACAAAATTTAAAAATGAAGCATTAAATCGACCATGTACTAAAATGAGGTAACATTATTAGCCAATAGTAAGGAATTGAATTTTCACGAATCTACAATCTATGGCTGCAGGTTCAAATATGAACATGTGACAGCAGTAACCTTTAACCCGGACATCATATTGCATGTTTTTACATTATATTTGTAAATTCCATTTAAAATATTTAATTAGAATTATTCATAAGTTACCTCAAAATTCTTAGATCTGAAAATTGAAATCTATTTAATAATGAAAGTATTAAAACTTACCAGCAGTCTGCAATAAATCTGAATTCGTTTAGAAAGTATTAGCTGCTTCAACTTCGGTGTATTCTTTGCCATGTAACAAGTAACGTGATTGGCCCAAAAAATTGGAACCTCATAAATTGGGTCAATAAATATTTATATCATTCCTATGGAGATATATGAAAATCTTATATCTAGGCTTAGGCCGTGTGCCAGTGTTGTTATGCGATAAGTAAGTAAGTGAAACATTCAAGAACAGAGTAAAATATTTATTTAAATTACATAGTACGATTTTATTGTGATTATTGATTAAGGAAGTAATATTTTAGTCACGTGGCGGCTGATGAAGCTCTGTGTGCCGACTGTGACATGTGTGCCATAAGTTCGAAAATCACTGGTCTAGTGAATAGGATTTGAGTTAAAACAGTCTTTCATGCCTTGATTTTACCCATCCCAAAGGTTAGTAACTAGTGTATAAAAAATGATTTGAGCCAGATTTTTTTTTTTTTTTTTTTTTAACTTATCCCCTATGTTAGTATCAGTAATCTTTATTCCCATATCAAGTCTCGAAATGTATATGCAAGTTTAATGTTGAATTTATTCTTTACTTTTTCATCCTTCCATTCTCATTCCCATGCATTTTGTACCGTAATTATACCATAGTTTCACACTTTCATTTATTTGATTCGTTAGAGAATCAGGGGCTTTCTAGTATTATTAATAAAAGCTGTTTCTGAGCCTTATAATATATATTATAGAACTTTTACTTGAACACTTTTCTACTGGATTACCATGAATAGTAGAAGTTAGTTTTATATGCTGTTTGGATACATATCTGTGGCAAGAAACAAATGCTTGTGGCTCGGTTGTCTTTAGATAAGGTGCATTTAAAAATCTTGTTCTCGAAAAGCTTCTCTAAGAGGTCGAGGTTAGAGAAAGAAGAAGTATAAGATCTCAGATTTCATCATTTGGGATGTTCTTGGCCAAAATTACAATCCCAAAACTGATTTAAGTAGATCATGTTCAAACATTTTTCTAAATTCTACGAGAACCTTGAATTTCGTTTCCTGGAAGTTCTTGGTTAAAACTAGAATGGAATTTAAGCTGATAGTATTTTGCCTAAATTTAATAATCCACTTAAAACCAATCCTTATCTTTTGTGTCAAAAGTGAAACCTGTTGAAACTAATACACTTCTGTGGCTAAATATAAATTGTGAATGTCTATTTTTCTTTCTTTTATAAATTTCACTTAAATGATTAAAGATTTAGTTTCATTAGAGAGTGTTAGTGGGTCATATTTAAATAGAAACCAAGTATTTTGTATAATTTTTTGCTAGTCCTCCCCTCCCGGATTAAAGTTTGGTTTACTGAATTCAAAAAGTGTGGGTACAGAAATTTATAATTTCTTGCATAGCGTTTCCTTATTATGAAATTCAAATAATTGCCAATATTAAGCATATCTTGCTATTTTTATGTACGATTTCTTCAATTTAGTTATATGACTTTATTTTTCCTTCACGGTATAGTGTGATATCTAGATAGAATTGCTAAATTTTAAAATATTTTATAGTGGAATTAATTACTAAATATAAAAGTTTAATAAACTAGTGAACATTTATTTTAAATGTTTGTAGCAGAGCTAAGGAGAAACTTACTTCAGATTTTTTACTTTCAGTTTTATTTGCTGAAATCACCCGTATTCTAAATCACATCATGGCTGTTGGAACACATGCCTTAGATGTTGGTGCTTTAACTCCATTTTTTTGGCTATTTGAAGAAAGAGAAAAAGTAATTTTTCTTCTAGTTTTAAATTTTGATAATTTCATCAATATAAAAAGTTTGTCTGTGCATATGTATTTATATGTAATCATAAAATTATATTTATAGTTAATGGAATTTTATGAACGTGTTTCTGGTGCTCGAATGCATGCAGCATATATTCGACCTGGAGGTGTCAGTCAAGATCTTCCAATTGGTTTATTAGATGATATATATGAGTGGTTGGACAAATTTGGACAGAGAATTGATGAAATGGAAGATTTATTAACAAACAATCGTATCTGGCGAGCTAGACTTACAAATATAGGTGTTGTGTCAGCAGAAGATGCTTTAAATTTTGGTTTCAGGTAATATTGGACACACGAAAATAATGCACGAATAATTTTAATATATGCTTCCTTAATTTTTATGATATTTACTTAACTCATAAATATTTTATTCTTTAATTTAAAAATGAAAATTATTTTTTTTAAACAATTAGATGCATGATATTTATTCACACCTCACTTAATTGTCATTCCATAATATTTAAAGCAGTCTTTTTTAATTGTGCTAAATTTTAGACATTTATTGTACTTTATAAATTAACAATAAGTTTTTTCTATTGGTGTAATATTTAATATTTAATTTGTGTAACTGTGAATTATTAAAATCTATAAATATTTTTACTGGTTATAATAGTAAATTCAGAATATCTGAATTTTAAAGGAATTCAAGCTAGCACTTTATTATCGTTAACATTATTTTATAATAGTCATGTTTAATAAGCAATGCATTTAATAATATGATTCATTTATTTATTTGAAAACCATAAAAGGTTTTTGGAAAATGGATCTGCTTTTGATCTGTTTAAAAGTGCTTGAAAATCATCTGCATTCTTGAAATTTTTTACAGTTTTTCATCATATTTTGAATCAAAAATAATATTGAAGATATACAGTATATGCAGTATATGTTTTTATGATTTTTTTCTTGCATCTTTTGTGTTTACATTTACTTAGCTAAAATTTTCATGAGACGACATTTTAGCAGGATTGTTAAAAATATTAGTTAAAATGTTGGAAAGTAGTTGAGTTATGCAAATGAGTTCAACTTTAGATAGCTGCAGCCAATGAATACCAACTCACTTATAGCTTCTTTTGACAACAGCTGCTACATGTTTAATAGAAATATGTGGTACCAGCAGATGATGATGCAAATTATCACCTTGGTGGTAATATATGAGGATGATTGATTGTTCCACTGTTCTTCCTTATGCAAGCAACCATATTTTGAATCATAGTGCTAATTAGGTGTTCATGCAATATGCTCCATGCAGCAACCAAATACAGTATAAAGTCCATAATCCGGACTCGTTGGGACTTCGGCGATTCCGGATTAGGGTTTTTTCTGGATTATAGATCATCAGTTTAAATCTGGTAAGATGGCAGAAATTATACAATTAAAAATATGAAACCATAATTTATTAAATAAAGAGCAATTATGATATAAAGGGTATTACAAAAAAAAAAAAAAAAAAAAAAAAAAAAGCTTAATATTTATTTTTTTACTTTATTAAACATTTCTTTCAATGTAAGTTGTTTAAGTTGCTTCGTTTTTTGTGCAAATACTTTCTCTTTAATTCTATAAACAGACATAATTTCTTGTTCAGTTACAAAGTTCCACTGATCAAGTCCTGTAATTGCTGTGTCAAGAATACCAACTAACTTGTCAATTGAAATTTTTCCATTTTCAGTAACCTTTCTGTCACTTTCTATCGGAAGCGCACATGTGTAGCGGACGTGCGCATTAAATGAGCATGCGTAAGTTTGTGGCTTTGAGGTCCAGATTATAGATCATTCCGGATAGTGGCCATCCGGATTACGGACTTTGTAATGTACTCTAATGGAATGAGTCCTTCGTGTATCTACTATGTCAGTGGATATGCTCTTATACTACATATACAGTCTGGTTAAATAATGTGCCTGAATGAAAGTCACTGTAAAGAGGTTATGCTATGAACTTGGTGGTAGCAGAACTTACCTGCTCTGTAAAAGATAACAAATTTCTTAATGCTGAAGAAAAATCAAGCAAAAACCCGCTTTTACACAATCAATTAAGAATCAGCCTGTGAGCTCCAGATTGAATCCTTAAAATTGGGGCCAGTGAACTTCAACTTACTCATCTCTCAACGACTTTAATAAGCATTCTGTATTGGTTAGTAAGTTGTTCTGTCGAGTGAATGTTGAATTATGGGGATAGAAGATAACATTATCTTAAACCTAACCGCTGTAGTTCCTGTCAAGTTTTTTAAGGACAAAATATGTTCATATTGTAAAAAGGGATCTTTTTTTTTTTTTTTCTTAGAGGTGACAGTATTTCATCTTAAAAATATAGTTAAAGTTCTTGTATTTGATCATAGCCTGAAAGGTATTTTCTCCCATTGTGCTGCGTGCTTTTATGTTGTAATTTGAAGCACTCCAGCTAGCAGTTGGGAGGTCCAGAGTTCAAATCCTGGCAAGAGCATTGCACATTTTTTTGTTTGCCAGTCTAGTTGACCTTTAAGAAAGGGAGAAAGTAATCTATTTTTTTCTTCCTTATTAATTGCTTTTGTGGTACAATTGGAAGCATATCTGGCTAGCAGTTGGGTGGTTTCTTGTTCAAATCTCAGCAAAGGCATTATATATATTTTGTTTCCTCCTTTAAAATAAACTTAAGAGTTCTGTAAGGTAAGCTTGATTATAGCCATTGGCCTTAAAATACAGGTCAAATGCATTCTCTACAAATCCACATTATAACTAGAGAGGGATCATCTTAGCATTATTTAAGAAATAAATAAATTAAGTATGTTATTGAACATCACTGATAATTATGCTTTTTCTGAAAACAGGTTCACTGGAACCATAGTAGATCATCTTAGGGAGGTTTCATTCTAAACTATATTTGCAATATGAGTGTATTTGAGAAATCGCATAATTAGAAAATCAAAGGGGTAATAACTAAGAAAACCTAAACAATGTTGTATAATGGAGATTTATAATGCATTAAAAAATTAAAAAAGAAACATATTTATTACATTTACTTTACTTATTAAATACCTGTAACTTTAATGGTATGGGGGAGTCTTCAAACTATGGTTAACATTTCGTAGTTAAAATTTCTTTCACTTATTTATTTATTTATTGGCTTGTTTGTTTTTGAGACTCAAATTTTATGGCAGTGTAGCGCCATAAAAATGCAAACGACCCCAAAAGTCAATGTCATATTTTGAATCAAAAATAATATTGAATATTAAATTATGGCCAATCAAAATGTTAACCTTTAGTCATATACCATCAATTCAGATATTTTAGGTTTTTTTGTCTCCCTTGTGATCCCTGTATAAATTCTTGCTACCACATTTAGGATCGCAACCTGTAGTTTCAATACCACTGCTATAATATAATTAAAGTATTATAAGCTTTTAGACAGAAAAGCTTATAATGCTGTTTTAGTTCAGAAATTACTGTTGCCAATTTAGATCTGTAGAACAAAAAAGAGGAAACATTTTGTTACGTTTTACATGTTAAACAAAAATTTGTTTTCAACTTAAAGTTGATGTTAAAATTCACTTGTAATCCAAACAGCTAATTTTAAAAAGCATTCTATCACATTTTTTTGTTTTAAAATCACTTTATGCACTTTTTCCCCTTTGTATAAGAAGAGGACATTTTAATTATAGTTATTACCTTTTTTGTTTTCAAATATTATTTTACGTGATAAATTGTAAATTACAGTAACTTTCAGTATAATTGTTACAGTTTTAAAAATAAGTATTTACAAGCATTTGATATTTAAAAACTTGAAGTGAATGCATAAATATAATGGGGTTCTTAAGATTAACGCCGCGGTGTGCAGTGAATTGGAAGTTGATCTGTCAGCACTATCCTTATCTTCAGGGCAGATGTTTTTATTTTATTTGGCTTATAATTCCTTACTAAATGTAGTGTTTCATCTCGATGTACTCCGTCTTTGATATGATTAAATCAAATTCCTCGTCATTATAATTCACTTCCGATAGTGAAGAAAGTGACACAGAGGTTATTGAAAACGAAAAAATTTCGATTGACAAATTAGTCGGTATCCTCGACACAGCAATTATAGGACTTGAACAGCAGAACTTTGTAACTGAACAAGAAATTATGTCTGTTTATAGATTTAAAGAGAAAGTATTAGCACATAAAACGAAGCAACTTAAACAACTTACATTGAAAGAAATGTTTAATAAAGTAAACAAATAAATATTAAGCTTTTTTTTTTTTTTTTTTTTGGTAAATTTTGATACCCTTTAGATCATAATTGTTCTTTATTTCATAAATTACGGTTTCATATTTTTGATTTTATAATTTCTGCATGCCATCTTACCAGATTTAAACTGATGATCTATAATCCGGAAAAATTGATAATCTGGAATCGTCGAAGTCCCAACGAGTCCGGATTAACAACTTTTGACTGTATTCTTTTATTTAACATGACTTTATGTCAAATGTTTTTATGACAAGGTGAAAGAATGATGTGCATTAATTTATGACAAAATAAAAGTATATGTTTCATTTTATGACAGAGTGAAAATAAATAAAAATTACTACTAAGATACTAATTAAAGCTTCATTATTATCTATTTAGTGGTGTTATGCTCAGAGGATCTGGTATTAAATGGGACCTGCGTAAAACACAACCATATGATGGCTATGAAAATTATGAGTTTGATATCCCTATTGGTATTAAAGGAGATTGTTATGATAGGTAATTTATTTTATTTTTCTAAATAGGTATTATTTTATTATAAATATTTTATTTGGTAAAGTATATATGATTTGTTAAAATATGATTTTTTAAACTGTATAAATAATAATAAAAATTTAAAAAAAAAGAGGCCTACCAACGGCCGAGCGGTAAAGTCGCTGAACACTGGTAGTTCGGTTCGAATCCCATGAATGGGCTAGCTGCATGGGCATTTTCGTGGTTTGCCCCATGTGTAACTTGTATACGAGCCAGTTTCCCTTAGAAAGTCCTCCATGAAGGCATCCCTCCCCTTAGGCAGATAGCCCTCGAGGCTTTGCCATGATAACACACACACTAGGGGGGGGAGAAAATCTGAAAGTTTTCAGATTTATATTATAACCAAAGGGGCTTCTCTCTCTCTCTCTCTCTTTTTTTTTTTTTTTTTTTTTTTTTTTTTTACATTTTATGTTACCTTTATGTGTTAAATGTCATGTTCTTCGCAATTAAATCACATTAAATTCAATTCAATGACAATATCACAAAAATATTTAAAAACAGCATATGTTTAGAATTTCCAATGGATAGTCTCACATGCTGGAGATAAAAATTATTTTTCTGTATAGTGTTGCGATTGTTCAATTTGAAATTATTGAGTTTTCTATTTGAAAATTCGTTTAATAGGAAACAGATAATAAAACAAATTCAAAATTCGAGCTTCCATGGGCTCATGTTTGGGTGGGTGATTACATTATTAAAAATTTGATGGCTCTAGGTACCATCATTTTTTCACAGTGCAAGAAACATACCTACATTCATGCACATTATCCTTTATTTAATTTCTTTTAAAACAATTGATATTAGTTGGTGGCAACAGTTTAAAAAAATAAGTTTGTAATCTAAATATTTTCCCTTGTGAAGAAAATTCTGTGTTTAAATGATGTTATGGCTATTAATGTTTTTTACAATTTTTATTGCATGTTATTTAATCAAGGTTTTAACAGATTCACAGAACTGATGGTTTACATTTGTTAGAAATAATAGCCATGTTTGTAAGAGAAATGAAAATGCATCAGATTGAAATAATATCATTATATTATTATTCATGATTTGTTTCAGTTATTTGCTACTGTTAAAAAATAATCCGAGGGCTCTTTTTTTTTAAGTAAGGTCTGTTGGCACATATAGTTTCCTAGTTCATGCATATGCTGCAACAATGTTCTGTGCCACGGACCAGCATCCTTTGTGAACAAACTTGTGCCAGTTTCAGCTCTGCAGCAATTGTGTAACCTCCGCTGTGCATCTTTAAAATGTTTAAGGTGATTGAATCGCCTGCCACATATGAGATACGGTCTGTTATCCATTTTTCAACTGCGAGAAACATGTAGGCTGCAGACATTCATCGCCAGATAGCATAAGCTTATGGCACTGAAGCAATGAGTGATAGTAAAGTCCAAAAATGGGTCAGAGAGTTTAAAGATGGGCGTAAAAATGCCCATGACGAAGAACACTCAGGCCTCTATAATCGCTGATGATTTGGTGCATGGAGTTGAAAAAAAAAAAATTAATGAGAACAGGAGATTCACGATAACCACTCTTTCATTGGAATTTCCCCACATTTCTCGGTCGGTGGTGTACAAAATTGTGACTGGAAACCTAAACTTGAAGCAATTATGTTCTTGGTGGGTACCCAGGCTCCTCACAGCGGAACACAAAGAGAAGAGGTTTACCAGTTCATTGGACTTTTTATTCGTTACGAGGAAGAAGGATATGACACATTGAGTCAAATTATTACTCGATATGAAACATTTATATCCCAAATCACCCCTAAATCCAAGCAACAGTCGATGGAATGGCGACACACATTCTCTCCCGTCCAGGTCAAAGCGCAAGATTATGGCAACAGTGTTCTGGGACCGGCGCGGTGTTTTGGTGGTGCATTTTAGAAACACAAGGAACAACGATCAACTCTGTCTACTGTGCAACTCTACAGAAGCTCTGAAGAGCATTGCAAAACAAACAGCGCGGCATGCTGTCAAAAGGAATTTTGCTCCTCCACAACAACGCAAGGCCTCACACTTCTCAAACAGTTCAGGACTTAATCGAATCTTTTAGCTGGGAAGTTTTGGTCCATGCACCATACAGGCCCGCCTTGCTGCCAGCGATTTCCACCTTTTCTGGTACCTCAATCACCATCTTGGGGAAAAGCGCTTCAGTGACAACGAAGAAGTGAAAGCGGCCGTGAACTCTTGGCTGTCTGAGCAGGCGGCAGACTTCTTTGAAGAGGGCTTTCAAAACTTAGTTTTAAGGTATAAGAAGTGCATTAATAAACTAGGCAACTATGTTGAAAAGCAGGCAAAGAAGTGCATTAATAAACTAGGCAACTATGTTGAAAAGCAGGCAAAGTATGTATAATCCTAAAATAAAGTTTTTTTTTTAAACAAAATATTGTCATTATTATTTTTTTTTTAAACAGACCTTACTTAAAAAACAGCCTATGTAAAATTGAAAGAAATATACACAAAGTTACGTTTAGATTTAAATCCATTTGTAAATGCTTATTGAAATCAGCAGAATTCAGTATTTCCATCATGTAGAATAATATATTTAATGTATGCAAAAATTTATGTTAATACTATAAACGTATCAAAATTAGCTAAACTTTGGGTCAAGACTAACCTGATAACAAGTGCAAGGCTAACTTCTTGTTCCATTCTTCTGGTTATCCTCATGAATGATCCCTGACTATTGCCCAATTTTTTTAGCGTGCTTACATATTTGACAGTTGCTTATTGAAACATAATTACTTCAGAATTTTGTGATCCTAAGACTTCATTGATTTTGAGATGCTACTTATAGTACCGTAATAAACTAATTTGTTAGTATTTTGTTAAAATGATTGCATCATTCAGCTTATTTGACATTTCCATGTTTGATGTGTATAAAATATTGATGAAGTTGTACATAATTTTTAAAGACTAATTGAGTTTTCTATTATTTGAAAAATTCAAGAGAAATTTTATAGTAAGTTTATAAAAAAATTTTTTATATGTATAATGACTGTTAATTATTATACATATATGCGTTAAATTTTAAGTATATATATATAATATTTTTTAGTCTCCTGTGTTTATTCAAGTATTCCCGTCCACCATTTTACTATTTTTATTGTATGGAAACTGCTAGGGTAAAATTGTGCAAGTAATTTTAATTTCCGAAGCATATGGTTACAGTAAGAATAATCATTCATGAATAAACTATTAATAACTATCCTGATATTATTTATTTAAAAGAAACCTACATTCCAAAAAGAATATGTAATAATATTAACATTACACCATCTTATAAGATATCTTCATTTTTAATTGTCTGTATCTTGAACTTCACCTTCTTTTATTGTTGTCCATTGCTAATCTCTAAGCCTTAAATTGATTCCTAGGTCTGCTAGAAGTTGTCTGCTACAGTTTGTAAATCATTACCATCATCATCTGTTGTTATTACATTCATCACTATTTAGTGTGTCTTAAGTGCAATGATTTTCAGAACCATAAAAGAACATTAGATATCTCTATTTTCTTAAACCTCTTCGCTATTATTGCTTCATCATTCAGAGCCCATACACCCAAATTTCATGAGGAAATCGATTAGTAACATGAAGCAATCATTACTTAGATAAATCTATGGGGAAAGAGCAGAATCACCCACTGCTTCATGCATTTCTCAAACTCGATAACCATGTACACATCGACCTATTTTCACTTAAAAAAAATCAGAGAATTGCACAAACTTGGCATTGCAGACTCTCTTGACTTTGTACACATTGATACGTGTCATATAAATGGGCGATTCTGCATCAGCTTGAAAATAACAAGTCAAGAATTGCACAAACTTGGTATCCGTGTACACATCGACCTATTTTCACTTAAAAAAATCAGCAGAGAATTGCATAAACTTGGCATTGTGCACTCCCTTGACTTTGTCCATGTACACATCGATATGTGCCATATAAATGGGCGAATCTGCACTTTACCCAGATCTATTGTAAAATTAAGAAGATCTCATTTTTGAACATCTTGAGGAAGGGAAAATTGTGTAGATGCTTAAAAAATTTTCAAAACTGTGTGCTAAAAAAGCTAAGGGGAAAAATACATGATTAAATACGGTGTGTGTATATATGTATATATATTTGCGTAAGTTTTCATGTTTTAAATTCATTAAATTTCCTGTTTCGTTATAATTTAGATTAGTTACATATATGTTACCAGCAAAGTATGAAATGCCGGCATCCTATAGAATGCCTAGGCCTTGTATATGATGCTGGATATTTTTAGGCAAAGTATGAAATTTGAGAATTATTACATAGTTTTCCTAGGTATTCTTTAGAATGATAAATGCTATTTAGGCAAAGTATCAAAAAAGGTCCTGATAAGGCTATTATATAAATGGTGTACATTCCTCAAAAATCCGAATGTTGTTCTGAAAAAATAATGAGAGTGCCATTAAAAAAGTGTATTCACGTAAAGAAAAGAAAGTTGTACAAAACAAAATTTATGCCTTTCTTATTAAGGGAAACAAAATTTTCATATTAAAAATAAGAAATTAAGCTACTTACTGCAACATGGGTAGGCTTGAATAACATTTTGAATTACCTTTCATTACTTTTTCATGCAACGACACTTCATATTTTGGCACTTTGTTTTACATACATTTGACGAATCATTGGTCGCTTCCATTGGACTGAGCAATTACAATTGACCAGAGAGGAATTTCATGGTCAGGAATATCTTCACTTTTAAACAAGTTATTAGGGTATAAAATGAATTGTTATCTCGCATATACTTGTTTTTAAATTCCTTTAGAAGTTCCAAGACAGTAGAAACCATCCTCTGTCACACTCATTACAACTGCCAAATATATTGCGTGAATCACCTTGCCCCTTGTTGACATCAGGAATAGGAACTCACACAGTAGCTCCTAAAGAAGCGATGGAAGGTTTTTTTCATAAACTCATTTTCATTTTTTTTTTTGCTTCTATTTCCAGATTTATTTTTGAATTTATTTTGCCTTTTGCATTTTTAGTTTTGAAACTAAAGGTTCACAAAACCTTTAGTTTCAAACAAAACCTTTAGTTTTCTCTATTGAATGTAATTGCAGCCTTGTGTTTTGAAAGTCTCTTTTTCTTGCTCAGTCTCATTTCATCATCTTCAATAGCATGGCCACAGAAGGTATGAACTTTTCGACGACACTTTTTGCATGCATTTGCATCACTCGTTTCCTTTAAATACACACAACAGGTATCAGAAACGGAAATCTCTTCTTCAGTAAGTATGTCTTCATCATGTTGGTTTAATACACTATTGAATGTAATCGCATCCTTGTGTTTTGAAAGTCTCTTTTTCTTGCTCAGTCTGATTAGTTTCATTTTTTGTCACTGTTATGACGCTTTCTGTTAATTTTTTTAGCTACTCCTTTGAATTTTTATACGAATTTGAAATGTATTTCATACTTTACAGATTTCTCTTTTGGCATTCTATAGAATGTCTTGGAAATATGTGAAATATGAATAATTTCATACATTGCCAGCCAGTTTTAGGCATTATATACAATGCCTAAGCTTTCTGTAGAGTGCCAGATTTCAAACTTTGCCAGTAACATATATATTGAAAAATAAATAAATAAATAAATAACATGTACTGTTAATCTGTAAATTTTAGTCATTTATTGAATCTCTTATTTGAAGCTTTCACTTAAAATCTAGACTGCAATCATTAATGTATAATTGAAGTATAACGGAAGGAATAAAGTCATTGGAAGAGAGAAAGAATGAATGATGAAAATTAATTTTGTGATTTTGAAGAGAAATGTGTGGATAATTCTGAAATTAAATATGAGCTCATTTTTGATAGGAAGTTGTGTACCTGAATAGTGCAATGAAAACAATGGTTAATTAATTTCAGCAAAGCACTCACACTTAGAGAAAAGTCCACTCAAGGCTGAGCATTATATAAAAATGTGTTATTAGAAATATACTTCTAAAAGATAAAAGTAATTATTGCTGTTTTTTTATTTTTTTATTTTGTAGTAGTGATGTTGCATTTAAATGTTTATTATTTTCATTTTTTAAAAGAATTTAAGGTGCTGATAAATTTTGATCTGTCTTTATCTTCAGATATTTTGAAATAATTTAATAAAAATATTTATAATGATAATTGTCATGCACATACTCGGTAATGGGAAGCTACTGACCAAGCCTTGCTGGAAGAACAGTTAAGCCAACGATCTCTAGCTGAAAGGAGAGAGGAGAAAATCTGGCAACGAGAAGAAGAAGCGTGCTTGATGTGAGAAGGACAGCATGCTCGTGTAAAAAAAACTCTTTATCTGAAAGGAGAGAGGAAAAAATCTGGCAACGAGAAGAGGAAGCATGCTTGATGTGAGAAGGACAGCCTGCTCGTGTGAAAAAATTTGAAATTAGTTTTTCTGTATTCCGAGAGTTGAGCTTTTTGTTAAGAACTGAAAGGTGCAATGTATGACTTGTGCGTTTGATGTAATTGTGAATAAAAACAATACTTTGGGAAAAGATAATGTGTATTTACAAAATGAAAATATAGCTCATGTTATTGTTAAACCTGCTTAAGTGTGCCACTCTCCTGTGGATAGAGTTGACAAATAACATTCATAAGTGGACGGAAACGAACCGCCAAAAATGAATTGGTCCAGGATCGTTTTACATTATTTAGAAGAATTTAAGGTGCTGATAAATTTAGATCTGTCTTTATCATCAGATATTTTGGAATAATTTAATAAGAATATTTATAATGATAATCTTTGCAGAACTTATAAACTAAACATACATACTGAACACAAGGTAAACATAAACTTCTGGTCTTTCTTCTGGGATATGAAAATTTGGTTGTTGGCAATTCTTTGTGTAGCAGAACTTATCACTACAGCTGCTTTCCATTATTCTAGTCTGGATATTGAGCATTTTATTGCTTTTCTCAGAAAATAGGCTTGGGATTACTGCAATTTCACTAAATATGTCAAAAACAGAATCTGTTCTTATTTGGTCATCAGTTAATTCACGTATATATTGTTACATTTTTAAATAAAAATTTAGGTTTGCAATGTTCTTTCTCTAAGCTTATATGCACACACTTCCTAGTGTATCCAGTTTTCTCTGGTTAGATGGCCACTAGCATAGTATAACAGAGTATGCTATCTATAGTATGCTATCTAATTAGTCCAGTCTGAACGTTTTTCAATTAAAACAAATCTCACTCATATTATTTGCAAGCTTCATTTAATTACAAAGTGTTAAATATGTTAATTTATTCATATTAAAGTCACATTTTAAATGATATATATCCAGAGTTCTTATATATGGTAAATAAAACTTAACATGAACCTATAGGTAAAATTAATCACACATGAAGCAGTTTTATTGTTTAAATATTTCAGAGATTAGATAGATTACATACTAATGTACCTGATCGTACACCTGCAATTCATATATTGACAGTAGCACATAATTGGGGAGGGAGGGCATTTGTATGGTTTTTTTTTTTTTTTTTTTTTTTTTTTTTTTTTTTACTTTTGAAATTTATTACTAAGTCTAAAGTTTACAATCATGGTATATTTTCTGGGTTTAGTTTACAGTTGCTGAAGAGATAGGATTTTTATTTTTTAATTACATTGTACTACAGATGTGTGGAGTTTCTATAATTTATGAAAGTATCCCATTTCTTGGGTAGTTAACTCTCATGTTTTGTACAAGTAATTTATTCCAATTCAATCATATTACATTTAATTTTATAACGGTGTGATGAATTTTTACTTTTTATTTTCTATTTGTATGCATTGTAGCAAGGTTCATTCTAAGTGGAAGGTTAATTATGAATTGTGATGAATATGTAGTAGTGTGTTATATATTTTTTATTAAAATTGTTATGCTAATTATGAATTTATAAACTGGAGATTCGTGTAAATTAGGGTACATTTATGTACCCTAATTTGTAATGATGATTTCTCATTATGTAATGATGATTTTTATCATCATCATTCACTAATAAATGTGTTCAGATTTGTTTAATAGAGTCTAATTTAGTTTATATAATTATTAAGAAATTTTTGGAATAAGGAATTAGGAAACTAAGATTCACATAGCAATTTTTTATAATTTTTTATTTGAGTTTTAAATGTTATTTATGTATTACTGCTGCTGTATGTATATTATTAATGTTTAAATCAATAACCAGCTGTTTTTACAATTCTCATCAAGAAATTTTCATGTAGTAAATGAATCTTAAATATCCAAAGAATATTTGGTATTTAAGCATATTATTTGATCTGAATTTGTAGATGATAGGAATTCTCTTAATAAAGATAATAGATATTGTAGATGATATAAATTTGTCTAATAAAACTAATATTAATTTATTTAACTAAAGAAACTTTTTTGATGAATATATGCAAGGGGGTGAAGGATAAAAGGACTATGGATGCCAGTTTTCTTAATGTACATGCTTTTATGATTTTATTTAGAAATGGAAGTAGAAACATGTAGTTTTGCATTACATATGCATTTAAATTTTGAAATATTTTGCTCAGGTACTTGTGTCGAGTAGAAGAAATGAGACAGAGTATGAGGATCATATATCAGTGCATCAACAAAATGCCACCTGGAGAAATTAAAGTTGATGATCATAAAATAGTCCCACCGAAAAGAAGTGAAATGAAAGTAAATAGAAATTAATTAACCAGTTTTTTCCTAGTTACAGAAAATGCTGTTTTATCTTATAATATTCTGTTAAATTACATACATATTTAAATAAATCAGTGACATTTAATAATTGGCATAAAGTTGTTTTCCATGATATTAGACAAAATTCTCATTTTTCAACTACCCAAGAAAGCTTTGCATTACAATTGCTTTGTGGGCTGTATACTTCAAATGTAAGAAAATTAGTTCAATTCCTAATAATTCCATTTAAGGTAGATTTGGACTCCCTAAGCATTAATGTAATAATTAAGTAATGTATCCTCTACTGGATATCTGTAAGTGAGATCTATTTTAGTAACATTAGGTATATATATGTATTTTTTTTTAATTCTGTTGTGGTATAAAGATTTTCTGTGTTACTATAATATTTATTGAAAGACATGTCCGTCACAAAGTTTAGGAAGTATAAGATGATCACATGAATTAATTGTGTGATTGTCTTGAGAAGCACTTCACTGTTTGGTTGATTTGTCAAGGAAGATTATAACTATAGTACTTAATTCACTTTAAAACTATTTTTTTTTCCCCTTCCCTACTGGTCTGAGGTTTGCATAAAGTAAAATTCAAACTTCAGAGTCAATCAAGTGATACAGTTCTGAAAATAAAATTTCAGAACCCATGAAGTATCTTCCAGGAAACTTTGAATTCAGTGGTAACCACACAGAGATCGGCAAGTAAATAATACTAATTTTTTGCAATGCTTAACTTTGAAATAAATGTATTTTTCATACTGTTTTCTCTTACTTCCCATTACTTTTTAAAATGGATAATTTTTTAGCCATTTTGTATTTTGTGCTTTAGAAAGTATATTTTTATTTAATTGAGTATAAAGTTTAATTGTAATAGATTTATTGAGAAATGAAATTCTTTTCATTTTCTTAAGATATTTAAGTTATAAAAATAAGATTATATGCATAACTTTGAGATTGTGAACGAGCAAATTTGGATACTAGGAAAACATTGTATAATACTAATTCAGAAGTCAAACAACAAAAATCAGCATTATATTTTCAAAAATTTCACAGGACTAGTTTCGATGGTTTTGCCGAACCACCATCCTCAGCTGTAAAATCGCAAATGAACAAGATAGGAAATAATGATTAGATAAGCTAAGAAAGTCTGGACAAGAATAAGCAAATGGCGCCATCTGTTGGTGAAACCAGAACTAAAACATAATTTCTTTAAAGGCCGAAGGCAAAGATGGATTGCAATTAGGATCGTTAACTAGAACAGAAAGATTTTTTTGAATGTGAAATGTCTCTAGAAAATCCAGTTCTCCAATGGAAGATGTTTTTTGAATAATTTTAGCAGCAGAAAAATTGAAAGTGTGATTTTCGGACCAACAGTATTGAGCAATAGAAGACTTCTGTGTTTCCTTTTTTCTAACATATGTCTCATGTTCCTTGATGCAAAATTTTAAGGCTCTCTTAGTTTCGCCAATGTAAATTAAACCACACTGGCAAGGAATCCTATAAATACCCCAGGAATTCATATCCGGAATGGGGTCCTTGAGTATGGAACTCGGAATTTTATTGATGGGAGTCAGGTTGTTTATTCTGCCATCAATAAAATTCCGAGTTCCATACTCAACCAATACATACTCAAGGACCCCATTCCGGATATGAATTTGTGAGGTATTTATAGGATTCCTTGCCAGTGTGGTTTAATTTACATTGACCAAACTAAGAGAGCCTTAAAATTTCGTGTCAAGGAACATGAGGTATATGTTAGATAAAAGGAAACACAGAAGTCTTCTGTTGCTCAACATTGTTGGTCCGAAAATCACACTTTCAATTTTTCTGAGGCCAAAATTATTCAAAAAACATCTTCCATTGGAGAACTGGATTTTCTAGAGGCATTTCACATTCAAAAAAATCTTTCTGTTCTAGTTAACGATCCTAATTGCAATCCATCTTTGCCTTCGGCCTTTAAAGAAATTATGTTTTAGTTCTGGTTTCACCAACAGATGGCGCCATTTGCTTATTCTTGTCCAGGCTTTCTTAGCTTATCTAATCATTATTTCCTATCTTGTTCATTTGTGGTTTTACAGCTGAGGATGGTGGTTCGGTAAAACCATCGAAACTAGTCCTGTGAAATTTTTGAAAATATAACACTGATTTTTGTTGTTTGACTTCTGGATTAGTATTTATTCGGCGTGTTATTTTGTCTTAATTGTATAATAGTTAATATATACGCAGTGTTATAATAATGTTATGGTAATTTTTGCTAAAAGGAATATTGCATTTATTCCAAGTACTGTTTTCTGAAAAATGAGTCATTAATTGATTGTATAATTATTATCAACTGTTACTATCTAATCTGTCAAAAATTACCTAACTTCTTCATAAATGCTTATAAATATTATTTATAACTCAAAAGCAATACAGAACATTTTCTTTTCTTCATGGTGACATTTTATTTCACATTGTAATTCAGAAGAACTTGTAAATTTTCAGTTTCCTTAACTGTAACATTATCTACATATTGATTATGCCAAGTAATCTAACGATTTACTTGTTCATTTTGTCATTTTTGACCCTGTACACTATGTATCAACTTGAATTGCCACATAACTATATATTGCTATCATTAATATACACTAGCTAACTAGAAGTTTTGATACCAATTTAAAAAAAGCATATCCACAACTTTTTGTAAAATATTCCTTGCAGAATAAAATGAGAAAACTAATAAAAAGATGTTTTTCAACAAATTGCTGAAATTCTTGTTCAGTAAGTTGATGTATGATGACATTTTAATACACTACTGGCCATTAAACTGTAATATTGTGAAGGAATCAGAAAATTAACATGAAATTTGGGGTAGAGTAGACTTTAAGATACCCCTTGTATTATGGCGAAGTTGTTTGATTTATCGCCAAGTTGTTGTTTGATTTATCGTGAAGTTGTTGTTTCATTTATGGTAGCCTGAGTTGTTCAATGTTATGGGAACCCTTTTGTGACGTAATCGGGTGCATGATTCTGCAAAATTTTGAACCATGGGATGTGTTGTAAGCGTTTTTGTGGTGTGTGTTGGTTTGATTCTTTAGACGGTAGAATGGCCGAGTGTAGTATGATTAATTTGAAGTTTCTGTACGATTTGGAGCGAAAGGGGAAAAGAGCTTTAATTGACTTATGTGTAAATGAAGGTTTACTTAGTAGCCATTATAAGTGTCCTGTATGTAGGAAGGATATGTGTCTAGTCGAATGTAAAAACTGTTTAGATGGATTTGAATGGGTTTGTAAGAAGAAAGGTTCAGATGATCACTTTGTGAAGCATTCGATCAGAAAGAGTACCTCGTTTGAAAAAAGTCATTTGAGTATGATTGATATTTTGATTTTTACGTGGCTCTGGATGTATGAAGCGAACTCGAAAATCATGGTAAGTGAATATTTGCTTTTGGTAGTGCTTAAACGTATACATGTTTTTCCTTTTTTATGTTATTTTATTGTTTGGTTTAGAATGTATTCCATTGAGATTATGTATTTTTTGTTTGCCTATATTATAGAATTTGGTGCTTCTTTAGACTTTTTAAGTGAAAATATATCGATGTATATGGACAAAGTAAAGAGAGTGCGCAATGCAAGTTTGTGCAATTCTTTTTTTAAAGTGAAAATAGGTCGACGTGTACATGGATAAAGTTAAAAGAGTGCGCAATGCCATTTTTGTGCAATTCAAGGATTTTCTTTTAAATGAAAATAGGTCGACACATGTACATGAATAAAGTCAAAGGAGTGCGCAATACTATTTTTGTGCAATTCGGGAATTTTTTTAAGTGAAAGTAAGTCGATGTGTACATGGATACCGAGTTTGTGCAATTGTTTGTCTTGTTATTTTGGCTTTGTGTAGCGGCGATTTTTGGCGCAAAAATCGCTGCTTCGCAAGCCAAATAATGAGTCAAAGAATTGCACAAAATCGGTATCCATGTACTGCCAAAAATCGCCAAGTTTCGCCAAGGGGTACCCTAAACTGTACTTTTACCGAAATTTGCATAATAGGTAGATCACGATAGGACACGAAAAGGATTAGCAATGCAATTAGTGCACATACAAATAATGGATGCTTGTAATGCTACCTAGGATATGTATCAAAGAGAAGATTTTTTTGTATGAGAGTTATGTCTCATTCTTGTTTGTAACTCCAGTTAAGTAAGACTAAACATACAGCAACATGTATCCAAATTTGATTCGAGGAATAAATAGTGTGACTGCAGAATATATTGCCAGATTAAAATCCATTCACTGTCATGTGAATAAGGTACAGAAGGGAGTAGCAACGTGCAAATTCACGAGGAGCTCAATGCATTTGGTGATATATTTAACAAGTGCAGAAAATAATGTTATGAATAAATTTGGAGATAATATCTGTTAGCCGTTTTCTAGTAGTGCATTTTGGCCAAAGTTGAATGAATACAACAGATTAAATTATCATTAAAAAATAGTAAAATGAACATAGCCCGACTTAATTTTGTAATGAATAAAATCATTCTTAATTGACAGTACAAAACACTTGCATAATAAAAATTAAAGCTGCTGTATATAAATAAATGCATTGATAAAGAAGCTACCTTGATTATCAAGTGTGTCCAAAAAATTAGTTTACAGATTCTGCTGTGTCACAAGGGTGCACATGTGCCTGAATTCAGTGGTGTGTTAGCAAGGTTCCAGATTGGTAGTGTATGTGCTTTATAATCAGTTCATAAAATGTTACATCAAAACAATTTTTTCTTTTGAGATATATGCTTCCTTTTGTTATGTGTTGCTAAATTAAGCGACTTATCATTTTGACAATTTCAAGATAAATTTGCATACAAAATTTTTAATCCAGAGATTTTTGAATTTTTAAATTTTTTTAATAATTAGTGATAATGTTCCAAGAAAACTGATTTGCCTTCTGCGCGTGAAGTGCGGTGTGTGATCTGGTTTACAGCAGCTGATCCATCATCAGATTGGAGTGTATGGTGAACAATAGATTATGTATGAGCATTATGTTGTATGGAGATGGGTGTAAAAGTTTAAGGAGGAACAGGCAACAAGGAATACAGTGGGTGACTCTCTGAGTTGAGTGAAGACCCTGATCCCTGCAGTGGGAATGAATATTAAAGAGAACAGATGACTTACCCTAATGGAACTTTCAGTTGATTTTACAAACATTTCCTTGTTGTTGCAATTTGTTCTGACCAATTGCAGTTCCACAGATTGTGTGCAGCAGATGACTAACTCAAATGTCAAAGCATTTTAGGAATTTTTAATACAGAATTGTGAAGAGGGTTACGAGTTCTTACGTTGTATTGTTACTTGAGATGAGACATAGGTATTACATAAAACAAAAAGGTGTTAAGTGAAGGCACACATCATGGCCATAAAGGATTAAATCTAAATTGATGAGTACAGAGTTTGGGGACAGATGGGAGGATCATTAGCACTGAATTATCTATTTCAGTGTGTTCTGTGACTGAAATATTCTTTAAATGCTATTAAAATTTATAGTGAAATTATTAAAATATACGAATAGTTTTTAAAACCATTTGAACATTTTGCACAAATGTGGATAATTATAATGCATGATTTGATAAACTTGAATTGTTTTCTTAGACATCAATGGAGGCCTTAATACATCACTTCAAAATTTTTACTCAAGGATATCCTGTTCCTCCTGGTGCTACATATACAGCTATTGAAGCCCCTAAGGTAAGATTTTATCTGACTCATCAAAAGAAGTTTGATTAATTTTAATCCTTCAAAAACAATATAATACTTCTTTTTTCTTTCTTAAAGGGTGAGTTTGGAGTATATTTAATTTCTGATGGCAGCAGTAGGCCTTACCGTTGTAAAATTAAGGCACCTGGATTTGCTCATTTGGTAAATGATCTCTATTTTATATTTATTTTGCATTCTCAGTTTTCTTCTAAAGACAGCAATTTATTTCTCTTTTTATTTGTAGGCTGCTCTACATCACATTGGAAAAATGCATATGTTAGCAGACGTTGTAGCTATAATTGGTATACAAAATATTTCCTTTCTTTATGTTGTTATTACCCATTTCCTAAATTTACTAAAATTCCTAAAATGACTTAAAATATTTTAAATATTTAACACAGGGTGTTCATTTTTGAACTGACACTACTCGGAGCTATCTGTAGCTCGTTCTTTCAGATGGAATGCCACCAAATATGGTATTGGGACTAATGACGACAAGGAAAAAATATTCTGTGAAAAAATAGTTCCAAAAGTTATGAATAGGGCTAATGTGGCACTGTTCTAGTCTAAACTACTGAAAATTTCCATTGAAAGAGGTAAAATTTTAAAACACAAATGCTTGGTTATGTAAATGACAGCAAAATCAGTAATTCAATCTACATATATAAGGGGAAAACATCAAAGGACATTCAGAATGTTAACTGGGTTCAATATACATCTCGCATTACCTCAGTGCACATCACTTTTGAAGATGTTTTATCATCATCAATCGAACACAACTACCGCTTTTCGTGAGTTTAGAAATTGTAAGAGCCGAATAAAAGGTCCTCTATCAATTAATGCATTGAAAGAATGTATTAGAAGTTTCAAGAAATAGCATACATAGCAGTTTAGTTTGTTAGAGAACGGAAACCAGTGTCAGAACAGACAGTTACTGATGTCACAACTGCAATCATTGACGGCACCCATGAGACCATTACTTTTAGTAGCAGTGTATAGGGAATAATGCTACAATTGGGTTTGAATCTTTCAAAGGTCTACCCATACCAAATAAGCCACATGCAAGAATTAAAACACAGCGATTATGATAAATAGGTAGCATTTGCTCTGACATTTCGTACCAGGATGATGTTGGCCATTGAGAATTCCGTGGGGAGATGAGGCTCATTTTCACTTAAATGGAACTGTTAACACTCACAATTCTCAATTTTGGATATTCAAACAATTCCATGCAGTTCAAAAAATTCCTCTGCATTTACCAAAAATTACTATTTGGCGTGACTTCATAGCAGATTTATCACTAAAATTCTTGTCCATTCTTCTCCATTCTTGTCTGAGAACATTACTGTAACAGATGAGAGACCTGTACCATGCAAAAGTATCATGAGATGTTGACTAATTTTGTCATTCCCCAACTTCAACAGAGCCAGTGTCTGTATCAGGTAATTTTTGGAGCCTGGAGCACCATTGCACATTGGTCTATCAGTACAGCAGCTGTTACGCCATCACTTTACAGAAAAGAGGGTCATGAGTTGCTTTTTCCACTTGCATGGCCACCTTGCTCTCCAGACCTAACTCCATGTGACATTTTTGGGAGGTTATTTAAAGTTTAGTCTTTAGTTAAGGTCTGCCTTAATGTGCTGCCATCCTTGGCTACCTTAAAGGACTACATACCATGGCTGTTGTGAGCAGAGCCTAGTGATATGTACAGGATGCAATGTGTGTTTCACGAAAAGTGTGGTCACATTGTAGGAAACGTGTGTCTTTGCTGAGAAGCGCTTTTATTGAATAAAATGCTGTGGTGGACTGGAATATCATTCGCTGTAATCCCTTGGGGCAGTTCATTTGCTGCAATAAAGCAGTGTTGTACTGAATTTCTTCTTTGTTATGGAGTTGTTTAGCTCTCAGCTGTGTAGACTAGAACAGCTTTACATTTCACCTGCTGTCAACTTTTGTAACTAATTTTTTTTTCCACGGAATCTTTTTTTCCAATGTTGTCATTAGTCTCCCTACCAAATCTGGTGGCATTTCAGCTGATAGGTAAAGCTACAGATAGTTCTGAGAAGTGTCAATTTAAAAAAAAAAGCTATTATAGATTAGTTAAACTTTTTGTATACTTAGTATAGTTTGTGTATTTTTTTATTCTTTTTAATTATTCAGTATTCAGATTGTGAATGTTAATGTGTTGTGTACAAAGTCCGAAATCTGGATGTCTAATATCCGGATCACCAAGTTTTTTTTAAGAAGTTTCTTGTATGATTTGTGCTTGCACATTCGGTTCTTTTTCAGAATAAAATATGGAGAGTCCTGAGTTTAATTTTACTTCGACATTGCTGCTAACCTGGCGAATCATTATTATTTTTGCTTTTATCCCTTTCAGCATACTAAAGCTTGAGAAATGACTCATGCATTGATGTTTCAGTATATATATGTGATGATAAAACTTAGTTTGGTAGTCGTTAACTTTTGAAGAATCGCAAAAATCACTTGATATTTCAACTATATTATTTGTTGCACTTCACAATGGGGGCCAATTTGCACCCCACAATTTTGATGATGACGCATTACATTTTTAACCAAAGAAGAAAAGCAGAAGACGTCCTTTGGCCAGCAAGCACAAGCAGAGAAAGAGGGAGAGAGTAGGATTGCCATGATATTTATAGTAAAATATTTCGTTAATCTGATTGGCTAGAACTTATAGGCAATGCAGTAGTTTCAAGATAACATAATGCAGAATACATTTTCAGATATGATGCTGTTTAGAGAAAGTTATTATTAGAGACAAAGGACCCAAATTAAAAATGAGCAATTAAGAGACATTTTGATTTGCATTTTTTTTATCTTACATATCCCCCCTTCAAAGAGAAAAAGGCTTGGCGACAGAAAAGTTTTTTAGAAGAAAGCATTAAAATAGTAGCGAAACAGAGGAAATACAATTTAAAAAAATAATTATAAAATTTTGATCTAAATGTTTTAAAATTACAAAATTTTGTAAACATAATTTTTTACAAGAAATGTAAATTTAAAATGCTACTGAAATTTTGCAAATTCGTTTTTCTGTAAACATACTGTAAAAAAAGTCCTAATTTTTTCAATAATTAACAGTAAAAGTTCACAGTTCTTTATTGATATTTACTTGAGTATCATAATCATGTTTTGCAGTCCTTGGCTTAAAAATCTTTGGTAAAAATTGTTGTCAAAGCCAAAATTTTTAATGTAAAATAAGAACATTAACAAACTTCATAAATTTACCTGCGTAGGGAAGTTCTTTTTTTTTAACTATTCAAATATAAAAATTTTAAATATATCTATAAATTACATTACAAAATAACAAGTTCAAAATACTATAATGTAATTAATTCATGATTCGAAACATTATTTGAAATATTTTGTTAAAATTATGCTTTTTACTATTATTAGATATTTATAGTTTACTTATTCTTTACAAAACCTGAAGATGTCACAGCTTTACACACAGCACAATGTGATGGATACTAACATATCCATCACATTGGTTTATCAGTTGAGCAAACGGGTCTTTATTCTTCACCAGTGGCCAAAAGATTTGCAAAATTAGCAGTTACTGTAGAAAAGGCCTATGTAAGAAAAATAAAAAATATGTGAAAGATTAAATTAGCAGTTAAAATTAATTCCCTTCTGTATTCTAAAAATAGTAACCTCTATTTGAACTGCATCATTTCAAGAAAAATCTATGTCATACGACTCTTACATAATTTTGATGATGTAAATGAAGCTAAAACTCAAATAGCCAATAGTAATTTTACAGCAACATTAACCGTCCAATGAAAATGCATTGAGAACCAAAACCAACTCAGTCTGAATTAAGATTTCACTCTGACCATAACACACATGCTTTCACCGCTTTGTCTTAGCTGGACTGCTGTCTGTGTGCTCCTTCTTTTTTACTGCAAATCTATCAAAAATGTAGCTTTTTGGAATAGGCACAATAAATGTGCCAACTAGTTTGTGGCCACAACATGTTTTCTGAAATAAAAGTTAAAATAAGTATACCTTGACTGCCAAATTTTTTATTCCTTGTGGATTGGCATTTCAGCATTCTTTGACATCAAAATTCTAGCTGTTCATTGTGGATTCAACTACCTGTGTTCTACTACAGAATCTATTACCTATATACAGAGAAATATGTTTAACGTGAAAATGCTTAAAATGAAATATCGGTTAACAGGAAATAATACAACGGTCCCGACAAACTACTATATATTTTCATGCATTTTGTTTCTCTTAACACGAAAAGATATCCTTTCTGAGTATGAAAAAATACGGAAAACACTGGCCTCGCAGGCAAGATTTAAGAGGGGTGTGAACTGAAAGAGAGGTGGTTTCACATGTTTTGTAGAAAGGAGGTTAACTTGGCTTTGAAATATCCTCGGAATAGCCTGTGACATGAGCCAGTTTTGTTCATCTAAGCTGCTTTCACCTTCCACCCCTACAACGCTACACAAACATCTCATCTCTCATCAGTTGGCTTTGAAATTTGGTGATGAGTACATCGCAGTGTGAGTGAAAATCTGTGAGTATGGTTCATATGTTGCACTCTGCATGGAATTCAGTGTCTCCAAGGATGAATAAAAATTGTTTTCATCATGCATGATTTTCAAAAGTATCAGATTCTTTGGGGGGGGGGAAAAAAAAATGGAGAAGGAGGCTATTGAAACTGAGCCGACAGTGAATGAAATGTTTGAGAAAGTTTCTGTATTATTGAACTGTTCTTCTGTATTATGGGGAGAATTCATTGCAGTAGTTGATGATAATGTGTGTGCAGCCCTAATTATGACAAACAAAGACATTTTGCAATTTGTTCAAAGCTCACAAAATATCATTGATGTAGATTCCAATGACGAAAATGAAATGAATAATGTAGCTCCTTTTCCCCACGCCATCTGAAATGAGGAACATCATAAAAAGAAAGCGCAGCTATTTAGAAACACCTTCGAATGATGAAATGAATAACAAAATGGACGGCATTGAACACTTTGTTTACAATTTGATGCTAAAAAAGACAATGCAAAGAAAAAAATATCAGATTATTTTCCCAAAACTCAATAAATGTTTTGTTTTTCAAAAAACTTGAAACTTTGTATTAAATTCCATTAAGTTCTTGTGGATGTTTTTGTTTCATTGATTTTATTAAATACATGCATATATACATAGCTATGTAAATAAAATGCACTCTAATAAACCTAATTTTGTTGAATTATGTTTTATTTTCAATATCCTTTAACACAAAAAATATTTCAGTCCCTTCAGTTTTGTGTTAAAC